CAGTAGTGCACTTGCTGGGTCATAGGGTAACTCTATTTTCAACTTTTTGAGGAACCTCCATACTGTTTTCCAGAGTGGCTGCACCAGCTTGCATTCCCACCAACAGTGTAGGAGGGTTCCCCTTTCTCCGCATCCTCGCCAACATCTGTCATTTCCTGACTTGTTATTTTTAGCCATTCTGACTGGTGTGAGGTGGTATCTCATTGAGGTTTTGATTTGTATTTCCCTGATGCCAGGTGATGTTGAGCACTTTTTCCTGTGTCTGTTGGCCATTTGTATGTCTGCTTTGGAGAAATGTCTGTTGTTTATGTCTTCTGCCCATTTCTTGATTGGATTATTTGTTCTTTGGGTGTTGAGTTTAATAAGTTCTTTATAGATTTTGGATACTAGCCCTTTATCTGGTATGTCATTTGCAAATATCTTCTCCCATTCTGTTGGTTGTCTTTTGGTTTTGTTGACTGTTTCTTTTGCTGTGCAAAAGCTTTTTATCTTGATGAAGCCCCAATAGTTCATTTTTGCCCTTGCTTCCCTTGCCTTTGGCAATGTTTCTAGGAAGAAGTTGCTGTGGCTGAGGTCGAAGAGGTTGCTGCCTGTATTCTCCTCAAGGATTTTGATGGATTCCTGTCTCACAGTTAGGTCTTTCATCCATTTTGAGTCTATTTTTGTGTGTGGTGTGAAGGAAATGGTCCAGTTTCATTCTTCTGCATGTGGCTGTCCAATTTTCCCAACACCATTTGTTGAAGAGACTGTCTTTTTTCCATTGGACATTCTTTCCTGCTTTGTCGAAGATGAGTTGACCATAGAGTTGAGGGTCCATTTCTGGGCTCTCTATTCTGTTCCATTGATCTATGTGTCTGTTTTTATGCCAGTACCATACTGTCTTGATGATGACAGCTTTGTAATAGAGTTTCAAATCCGGAATTGTGATGCCACCAGCTTTGCTTTTCTTTTTCAACATTCCTCTGGCTATCTGGGGTCTTTTCTGGTTCCATACACACAACTGATTTTTTTTGTATGGATCTTGTATCATAATGGTGACTAATATGTACATATTAGTTGCTTTGCTAAATTCCCTTATTAGTTATTAGTTATTAGTTCCAGTAGCTTTTTTATAGATTCCATTGGATTCTCTACATAGGCAGTCCTGTTGTCTGCAAATAAAGATAGCTTCACTTCTTGCTTTCCAATCTGTATGCTTTCTATTTATATTTCTTGCCTTATTGTGCTGGCTAGGACGTCTACAATGTTGAATAGAAATGGTAAAAACAGACATAACATTTTTCCTAATCTTAAGGGAAAAGTATTCAGTTTTTTCACCGACTGTGGGATTAGCCATTTTTTTTAATTTTCTTATTATTTATTTATTTTTATTTATTTATTTGAGACAGAGAGAATGAGAGACAGAGAGCATGAGAGGGAGGAGGGTCAGAGAGAGAAGCAGACTCCCTGCCGAGCAGGGAGCCCGATGCGGGACTTGATCCCGGGACTCCAGGATCATGACCTGAGCCGAAGGCAGTTGCTTAACCAACTGAGCCACCCAGGCGCCCAGCCATTTTTTTTTAAAGATTTTAATTTTAAGTAATCTCTACACCCAACGTGGGGCTCAAACTCACAACACTGAGATCAAGAGTCACATGCTCACAGACTAAGCCAGCCAGGCACCCCTATTTTTCACAGATGCCTTCTATATGCTTGAGGAAATTTCCCTCTATTCCTAGGTTGTTGAGAGTTTTGTTCTATTTTTAATCAGGAATGAATGTTGGATTTATGAAATACCTTTTCTGCATCTATTGAAATGATCACATATAGTTTTTAGTTTGTAATATGGTGAATTACATTAATTGTTATGTGTGTGTGTGTGTGTGTGTTTTAATGTTAAACCACCCTTGCATTCTTGGCTTTAAAAAGGGAAGTGGGGAGGCGCCTAGGTGGCTCAGTTGGTTAAGCGACGGCCTTCGGCTCAGGTCATGATCCTGGAGTCCCTGATCGAGTCCCGCATTGGGCTCCCTGCTCGGCAGGGAGTCTGCTTCTCCCTCTGACCCTCCCCCCTCTCATGTGCTCTCTCTCATTCTCTCTCTCTCAAATAAATAAATAAAATCTTTAAAAAATAAAAAATAAAAATAAAAAGGGAAGTGGGGGTGCCTGGGTGGCTCAGTCGTTGGGCGTCTGTCTTCAGCTCAGGTCATGATCCCGGCGTCCTGGGATTGAGCCCCACATCAAGCTCTCTGCTCAGCTGGAGGCCTACTTCTCCCTCTCCTAACCTGCTTGTGTTCCTGCTCTCACTGTCTCTCTCTCTATCAAATAAATAAATAAAAACCTTAAAAAAAAAAGAATAATTAAAAAAATTAAATTAAAAAAATAAAAAGGAAAGCAGTTCAGGGCGTTTGGGTAGCTAAGTCAGTTGAGCCACTGACTCTTGGCTTCAGGTCAGGTCATGATCTCAGGGTGGTGGGATAGAGCCCCGAGTTGGGATCCATGCTCAGCAGGGAGTCTGCTTGAGATTCTCTCCTCCTTCTGCCCCACCCACTCTCTAAAATAAATAAATGAATCTTTGAAAAAAATAAAAAGGAAAGAGGTTGTGCAGTTTGAAGGTGATAAAGTTGGTATTTTCTCCTCCTCTCAGAAATCACCCAAGCAAAAATGAAAATTTTTGAAATGAAATGAAATGAAAATTTACAGAAATGTAAATACCATATCTGATGACCAGGAGAGAGCAGAAAACCCAAACAATGAATTTGGTGGGTAGGCTGAAAAAAAGCAGTGGAATTGCTGCTTGGTACAAATCACTTTGAATATTATTGGGCAGCATTTGCTAAGGTTGAACATTTACATACTCTATGATCTAACAATTTCACTTTAAAATAAGTGAGCACATCTATCTACCAAAAGACTTGTCCAAGGATATTCATATAAGTTTAATTCATAGTAGCCAAAACTTAGAAACAAGCCAAATGTCCTTCAATAAGAGAGTAGATAAATTGTTGCCTCTGTACAGTGGGATAGTACACTAATAAAGGAGGGCAAACTACTGAGAGATGCAACAACATGGATGAATCTCACAGTTGTAACCTTGATAGAATCCAGACTCTAGAGTACATTTTGTATGACTTTGTTCTGTATGATTTCAAGAATAGGCTAATCTGTTGTGATAGAAGTCATAATACAGGTTACCTATGGGGGAAAGTATTGATTGGGAAAGGACATATGGAACTTTCTGGGATGATGGAAAAGTTCTATATCTTGATCTGCGTGGCAGTTACATGGACACACATACAAGTATATAAAAATTCATTGAGGGGCACCTGGGTGGCTCAGTTGGTTAAGCGACTGCCTTCGGCTTGGGTCATGATCCCGGAGTCCTGGGATCGAGTCCCACGTCGGGCTCCCTGCTTAGCAGGGAGTCTGCTTCTCTCTCTGACCCTCCCCTCTCTCATGCTCTCTCTCTCTCATTCTCTCTCTCAAATAAATGGGTAAAATCTTTAAAAAAACAAAGTTTAAAAAAAATTCATTGAGCTGTACCCCCAAGATTTGTACATTTTACTTGCACGTAAAATGTGTGTGTGTGTGAATTATATGTCAATTAAAAAGGAACCAGGATGGGTTTTTTTCTAGGAAGAGTTCAATATTAAGACACCTAAAAATGTAATTCACCATATAAACAGAATAAAGGAAAATAACCAAGTTGTCCTTGTAGTAGATGCAGAAAAAACAACAACAACAATTCTTTCATTCAATGTCCATTCACAATCAAAACTGTTAGCAAATCAGGAATGGAAAGGAGTTTCCTTAGCTGGATAAAAGTAAACTACCAAAATCCTACAGTGACCTACGTAATTCTTAATGGTGGCACCTTAGAAGAAGTTCCTTTTAAATCAAGATCAAGTCAAAGGTGCTTATGAATAGCAATTCCATATGCCATTGTCTGGGAACCCCAGCTTGCACAGTTAGATGATGAATGCACAAGGAGAGGACTGATAACATACTGATAACATCTGGCTATTAGATGGATGTGGTATCCTTCAGTTTAGAGGACTTTATGACTCATACATGTTACAAATATTTTGCAAGTATGCAGTATCACATCTCAATTTTAAATATTGTGGGTTTTTTGTTAGACATTTAAAGACATAGGCCAGAAAATATGGTAGAAGCAACAAGATCTTAAATCAAGTTCTTTTATTTTTAGGATGGAAAATATTTGAAAGGTAAGGAGGCAGTATAAAGGAAGCAAGACTCAGAATATAGATGTTTGCTCAGCAGAAAAAAAAAAAACTTGTTTAAAATTTGTTGCATCCAAAGCCTGACAAAACCTCACAAAAGACAGCTCTTTCCCCCAGGAGGAATGGGATCATAGACTAGGGGTGGGTCAGGAGTCCGTGACACAGTGATGATGGCTAGATTGGACCCTTCCTTCTCTAGGATTCTCATGAGCTCTGCCCTTGATGCCTCTGGGTTTCTGGCTGGGGGACCCAGGCTGGAGATTTGGGGAAGGGGGTGAGGAGTCCAAGAAGCCCCTACCGATTCACCCTCGCCCCCAGTGCTAGTGTCCCGGCCTGTGAGAGGCCTCTCCCTTCCGTTCCTCCCCACACCCCAACCAAACCTGACTCTTCATTGCCAGAGAGGGAGATCTCCGCTAGGGGTCGCGCCTTGCATCGTCGGTCGCCGGCTCCGCCAGTTGCGATTCCGCGGGGTGCTGACTTTCCGGGGATGGTTAGCACCTTCCTTTTGTGGGTGCCCACAGCCCTCCGATCCCCGGCTTGGCTCAGCATTTCCTTCTCAGCCTCAGGCCCTTGACCTCCTCGTTCCGCCCGCACGGTCAGCGCGCCCGGTTCGACGCCCTCCAGCCCTCGCCCCGGCCCCTCTCCCCAACCTGAGCGAATTGCGCAGTGCCCCACACCTGGCTCTGCTCCCGGAGTCACCTCCCGGCGCGGCGCGGACCACCTCCCCCTCCCTGCAGGAGCGGGTCTCCACCCTATCCCCCTGTGGCCTCTCGGTGAGGACAGCCGCTCCCCACACCCCCGAGCCGGGACCCACTTTCCCCCGCACACGCGAGTCTGCGGAAGAGCGCCCCCTCTCGGCTACCCGCAGCTGGCTCTTAGAGGATCCTCCGGCGCCGCACAGCTCCTCCTTCCAGGGACCCCTCAACCTTCCCCAGGGTGGCCACTGACAACTGTCTCAAGAGGTGCCCCCCGCCCCCGGAGTTCCCTTGACGCCGCCCTCTCGGACCCTCCGTCCCGATCGCTCCTACTCGGTGCTTTCTGCACCTGGGGCGGAGGAGAGTCGTACCCGACGCTCCTGCTCCTAGGTGCCCCCCAGCATATGTGGATGCCCTGTGGCTCCCTCTCTGCTCTCTTAGATGCGACGGACCTGGCGGCTGATGCCTCCTCGGCTCCCGTCCCTCCTGCCCCGCCCGATCTGATTATCCTGGTCAGGCCACGCGGGTAACGGGGTGCCCACGCCACCCCCACCGCCACCCCATCAGAGCAGGCTGCGGGCTGCGGTGCGGGAGGCCAGGCAAAGACACCGACCTAACCGTCCAGGTCACTCAGGCCAACGGGGCGGCTCTCCTTTCTTGGCCCAAATCGGAAAGACCTAGAACTCCTTCATTCCAGCCTGTTCATTTGCCCCAGGCTTGCATTTTTAAGCTTTTTAACTCTAAACGAGTGACTTTATCTACATTCAAAGGAATTTCAGGAATGACGTTCATGATGCCAAGGTCCCTCACTTCCCTTTTATCTGTATACTCCACTCCCCCTTGCCTGCCCCTAGAGTTGGCCATTCCTTTCTGTTTATCTTTTGTTTTCACGTGTTCTAGAGGGGAAAAAAAAAGTTTTGCTGGCATACATTTTAAATTTGTGTAAAAGGAATTGTATTCTCATTCTTTTCACTCAGCACTAGGATTTCGAGATCAATGCGTATAGCATCCTCTCCTAACTGTGCTTAAACCTAACTGTGTAAAATAAGCTGTGCTCATCCACCTGATTTGACCTTTCCCATCCCCTGCCACCACCAATAGTACAATCAGCCCTCTCAAATACATCCCCTTATGCAGTGCTTCTCAAACATTTGTGTGCATGTGTATCACCTGGGATCTTGTTAAAATGCAGGCTCTGATTCCACAGGCCTGGGGGGGGGGGGGGCTCAGACTCTGCATTTCTCGCCAGCTCCCAGGGGATACCTCTACTTCTGGTCCTGGTGGGACCACTCTGAGGAGCCAGGCCCTTACGGGCCTCTATGAGACTTCATTTTGGATTGCTGGGTCACAGGGTATTGGTTGATCAAATTTGATAAATATTGCCCATCAGCTCTGCAGTCTGGCTGTACCACCTTATCCTCTACCAGCAGACACAGGAGGGTAGAAGGTATATATTTATGTGGGGAAGGGAAGAAGGCCTTCTCCTTGCTTCTGTCCAAATCCTTCCTGCCCCCATCTCCGCAGTGTGCCTGGTCTGGGCCAAAACCTCCTCTCTCCCTTAATCATAATGGCCCCAAGGCTCTGAAGTGATGTCCCTGGCCAGCAATGGCCAGCCAAGTCAGCGAGAGACCCAAGACTGGCATCCTGGCTTCATCCCTAACAGGAGCTCTTAAGAACAGGCATTGAGAGGCCCCAGGGTCTTCCATGCGGTTATATTTCCTCCATCGCATTTGCTTGCGTAGCCCACTAGGGTGAACCAGGATTCAAACACCCTGGCTTTGCCCCTGGCAAACGGCGATCCTGAGCCTGTCTCCTTATCTCTAAAAGGGGATAGCATAGCTACAGCTTGTGGCATGAGGAGTCAGTCCAGGAATTTTGCCCACATGCCACGAGCCCCACAGGGGCCCTAAAACAGGTGTTCTTGCCTTGGTTTTACCCTTGAGGAAAATGAAGTTCAAGAAGGTAAACTTTAACAATTTCCACCAAGGCCACGGAGCTAGAAAGTAACAGTGCTTGGGATTCAAACCCATTCTCAGCCAATACCCCAGAGCCCAGGCTAACCATGAGGCTTCACCATCTCCATGTCCTGTCTTGCCCTTCCTACCAGGCCACATTTGAGGGCGAACCACAAGGAAACTGGAAGGAAGGACTGTGCCTGGGGTTTGGGGCTTTGGATGTTGAAGGCCTCTGACCAGTGGCCTGCATGGTTATGAAACTCCACAGCAAATGGGTTTTCGCAAAAATAAACTTAGGTCCTAGGGTCTGGTTCCCATGGCCTGAATGTTTAGGTGGCAGGAAAGAGGAACTTTGGTTCTAGGGCTTCAGGAGCAGAAATTTTAGGGTTAGATATCCAGTGGGGTCACGACTGGGTGGAAGACAGGGAGGGTCAGGAACTGGGTGGGGGTCTGGTGGGTGGGTCTGAGCTGTGGGTGAAGGGCCAGGGTGCTGGGCATGAAGGGATGCCCTCTTCCAGACCTTCCTGGAGCTGTGAGCAGCAGTCGGGACAGCTTCAGAAACCCATGGGCTCTGCTTTCTTCACTCACACAGCTGTCCAGGCATCTCCGGGCGCCAGGCCCCAGCTGCAAGCATTTCACAATCAGGAGAGCTCAGCATGTGCATGTTTCGAGATTTCATGTCACACGACCTTTTACATCTCCACACCCATCCACAATTTCGGAGGGCCAAAATTGTATGCATGACAGAGCGTTTCTCTGAAGGCCCAGGGAAGCTTCCTGCTCTTTCAACCACCTTCAGGGTCAAAAGACCCGTTGAGCCTACAGATTATTCTCAGACTTCAATATAATATCTTACAGTTTTCTGGTCTTTACGAAGTACCTCACACATAGGCGGTATTTTCTTTGACTCACAACAACCCCATGACAGGGTTGGGACCCACTTAACACCGAAGTTCAAAAGAATTAACTGGCCATGGCCACACATTGTGTAAGTGGGGAAATGGGACTTCTTGTTCATTTTTTCCATCACAGACCTTAGGTATCTTAAAGTAGGTCTCCTCTGGGATCCTCACTACCCTAGCTGGCCCACTTCCCAGACTTGGGGGTGCTCACTGAGGCAGAAGGTAGGGAGTCTAGGGAGTGGGGGATGCCTGGGCAGAAAGGAGCGGGAGGTGAGTTAGTTGAGGTCTCATGGGGCTTCTGGCCAGCCCTCTCTCAGCTAGGTTTCTGTCAGTGGGCCCTTTCTAGAGCTCGGGGAAAGAGGGCTACCGAGCTAGAAGTTCTCAATGAGTCTACAGCTGAGACAGCTGGGCATCTGTGAGGAAAAGCAGCTGCCAGTTGCCAAGGGAGCCCTGGTGGTGTCACCAAACCCTTGTGGGAACTCTCGGCGGCTTGGCCAAGCTCTGCCCCTGGCTCACCCTTCTGCCCTGCCCCTTCTTCTCAAAGCCCCCAATGCCTCACACCGAGGACCTGTAGCTTCGGCAGATGGTGGCCAGAGGTTGGGCCGGTCTACGGGGCCAGCTCTAGGCCACATCACGCCTGGCCCGAGCAGTGCTAGGGACGGGGCGGGGGCAGGGCTGGGGGCTGGGGGGTGGGGTCTGGGGCCTGCTGAAGCCACTGCCCTCCCCTTCCCCAGGACCTCAGGCCCTAGGCCAGGGCTCAACAGACACAGGCAGCGGGATGGGGTTGCCCTTCTATTGGTCCAAGTCCTGAGTGTAGTCTGGGTGAGACATGGAGGTGAGGAGGCCCACGAGGCTCAGCAGCGTGGAGAAAAGCAGCAGGAAGGAGGCGGTGAAGAGCAGGGTGGGGAGGGCGCTGAGCACCAGCAGCAGGATGGCTGGCAGCAGATGGCGCCACGCGGCGGCCACGACGGGCCACAGGGAGCTCAGCAGGTAGGAGCCGGTGGTGAAGAGCGCGTGGCACAGCGTCAGCGCCAGCAGCAGGTAGAGGATCCCCTCCAGCCCCCACAGCGCACGCTGGAGTGGCTGCCGCCAGCCCGACGTGGCCCACCACTGGGCCCAGCTCCGAGGCACGTGGCACAGACACCAGCGCACCCAGGCCTGCCGCGTGGCCCAGGCTGACCAGGGCGCAGCCCGCTGCGGCCCCTCACCGGCCCCGATGGCATCTGTCTCCACCTGCGGCTGCGGCGTCATGGCTGGTGCACCTGGGGAGAGGGCCAGGCCAGCTGCAGGAGCAGCCCTGGAGACGCCTGGGGCCTCTGGGCAGGCGGGGGGTGGGGTGGGGGTGGGTGGGTGCAGGGGTCAGGAGGGGACCAGCGTGGGCGGGCCAGGGCTTTGAGCTGGGGCCTGGGTCTTACCTCCGGGCAGAGCCACCTAAGTCATGTTGCTTCCTGCAGCGCCCAGGATGGCCTAGCAGCCAGAGTGGAGCCCCCCTCAACTCCCCCCCATCCCTCACCCCCCTGCCCACCCCCAAGGATCCCTATTGTGACCCGGGTGGGGGTGGGGTCCCGCCAAGAGAGGAGCCACTGCAGGATGTGAGGCTCACCTGAATCCCCCTCCACGGACCGTCCAGGCTGGCAGGGGTGTCTGGTGAGCCCCCAGACGCAAATTCTCGTGCTTTCTTGTGAGAAGCCCTCTCGGGATCCCTGTTCCTACCGTGCTAACTGATATCCAGGCCCACTCTGCTCTCCTGTAAGTCTTTCTGGCCACCCATTCTCTAGAACCACAGAGGAAGCCAGAATGGCCACCCCCAACCCACAAGCTCAGAGGTGGCTGCCACATCCTGCCCTGGCTCCCTGTCCCTTGGCCCCGCCTTCTCTTGCTGTCTCAGACGCAGACCCAGGTATCCGCCGCCCATGCCGGGGGGCCAAAGGGCCCCTGCAGTTCAGGCTGGAGATAAAGGGGTACCCCCCTGCCTGCTCAACCCAGGACAGAGGAAAAGGCGATCTGGGGAAGCAGCAGGGCCAGTGTATTTCTGGATGGGGGCGGAAGGCCAGGCCAAGCAAGGCCAGGGGCACGCCTCGGGCTCCCAGGAGCAGCCCCAGGCCCAGGAGTGCCAGTAGCAGGGCCTCCTGGGGGCCGAGTCATCCTGTGACTGCAGCCGCAGGCAGGAGTGCGGCCCCCTGACTCCGGCCTCCCGGGAGGAGTGTCTGCGGGGGGCCTGCGGGCCTGTGGACAGAGAAGGTGGCGGTGGGGCCTCGGGAGGTTGGCCACTGGCCCACCTGCCGGGCTGCTGCACACTTAACCGGTGGAGCAGGTCAGGGGCCAGGAAGCTGACCAGCAGCAGCGAGGCTGGGCCAGCCAGCTGTCAGCCCCCGTGCTCCCAGCCCTAGGACACTGTCCCGGAGCTGGGCCACGCTAGGGCCCCAGGGGGACATGCACGGACCCACTGGACTATGCGACCCCTCCCCAGCCCCCAGGCCTCTGGGAGGGACTGGGATAGGATAAGCAAGGGCTTTGGGCCTGGGTAAGCAGAGCTGGGTCATGGAGGGAGGTGGAGGTGACAGGAAGGACTAGTGTTGGGGGGGGGAGATGGGAGGGGGCGAGGCCCTGGCAGACACTCAAGAGTGAGCTCCGTGGGAATCCCCCCTCCCCACACACCCACCTGCCACACCCTCCTCACCTCCCACTCCAGTCAGCCGTTCTGGGACTGGGCAGCTGGGGCATTGTGACCTATTGCCAGGTGGGGCCCTGGGGTACAGAGGGGGCTGTTGCTGGTTTTGGCCACCTAAGCAGCTGGTGGCTTAGGTGGGGCTAAGTCAGAAGGGAGTCCGTGATTTCTGAGAACTAAGACTCATCCTCTTGTCTTCGTGAATTCTCTGCCCCAGGGCCCCCGTGAGGATCTGAGTTACCAGGAAGGCATTCTAACTCCATCATCACATGGGCAGCTGAGCAAGAGAGGAAGGGCTGCTTTCTTTCTCCTGAGGGTTCCCAGAGCTCTGTATCCAGGGGCAATCATTCAATCTTCCTGTCAGCAGCTCTCTCTCCCCTGAGAGCTGTGGGATGCCTGTGGGCCCTTGTGGGGGAATTTTCAGGACTACAGCCCTGAAATGCAGAGGCAGGCTCTGCCAGGAAGCACCCTGAGACTTTCTGGGGCTGGGCTCCCACGGGACTGCTACAGGGTGGGGCAGGAGGGGGCTGTTTCGAAGCCCTGTGGTCTGTGGGAAGTGTTTCAGATACTGGGATTCCAGAGATGATATAGGTAATGCAAGAGGGCTTCAACATAGTAACCCCCAAACTGGAGGTTAAAGTTACCCTCTGAGAATGAAAGTAAGGCAAATGAACATATAAGGAAGGGATTGATCGTCTGAAAAGGAAACCTATCCCCATGATAATCTGTAAATGGGTGGTGGCTACAGAGGTTCCAGCACATCTCAGATTAGTGACGTAAGAGGCAAGAGTAGAAGTGGATCATAATTAAGAACAGAATCCTTTCCACATATCATACTTTGAGGGAAAAAATGATGGGGCTGGGGGAAGGGTCCAGTGGCCACACAGTCCCCAGGAGAGGAGAAAGCAAAAATCAGGTGGCATATCCGCCTCCAGCGGGCCCTGTCCAAAGACTCAAGCCTGGTGGACTTGACATCATTAGCATAGAGCCAATGGCCCTGTGGCCCTTGGGACCATTCATCGATTGTTTCTGCTCTGGCTCTTCCCAGAGTAATAAAGCGATACCCGCAGAATTCTGAGGGAAAATGATTTCCAACCTAAAAACGTAGATCTGTCCAAATGATTATCAAGTACAAGAGTAGAATAAAGACATTTTAAGCCATGCAAGTTCTCAAAAATTTGACCTCGTATACACTCTTTCCTAGAAAGCTACTGGAGGATGTGCTTCAGCAAAACAAGGCATTAAACTAAGAGGACAATATGGGAGTCAAGAGATGAGGCTAAACACAGGAAAGCAATGATGAGAAAGGCTCGGGATGTCAGCCGTGCTTCCAAGTAAAGAAAGCAAACAACCCAGGCTGGAATCAAAAGCAAGATGCTCCAGGAGGGATGTCTCCAGAAGAAAATGAAATTATCTGTGGTTTTTAGATATGTTCAAAATGTTCAGTTCTGTTGGTCGCTTTGGGATTAAATTAGTAATTGATGCCTAGAAAACCAAGCAAATGATAAAACAAAGTAGTGCTAACTCCAGGAAACACAAAAAGTTGGACGATAATATTTACACGGTCATATATAAGCACTGAATATTGACTCCAGTGACTTAGCTCTTTGGGAGGATGGAAGGAGTTTGTTTGTGTACTTGAAGATATATGTTCGGGAGGGTGGTAAGAAAGCAAAATCCTTAATTCCATAGCAGGAAACCTACAGATAACATTTAGACATAGAAAAATTAAGAAATAGCAATAGAAGTATAGAGGTAAATACAAGGAGAAATAACAGAATTAAAAGTGGTTGATCTGGGAATGGAGAAGCATAGAAAACAGTCTTCTATTGAGAGCTTAAATGTGATTTACCTTTAAAACTGTATTCTGTAGTATTTCGGCTAAATGATTTAGTTAAAGAAAAGAAAATTAATATAGGGTCATATTACAGAGATCAGGAATACACCCTCCCAGGATGAATGAAATGCCAATATCCCAATATTATGTGGATGTGCTCTTGTAGCTTGAGATAAAATTTCCAGTGACAGCTTCAAACACCATCAAATACCATCAAACTTGAAAGTTGTGAATCTCGGGCACCTGGGTGGCTCAGATGGTTAAGCGTCTGCCTTCGGCTCAGGTCATGATCCTGGGGTCCTGGGATCGAGTCCCGCATCAGGCTCCCTGCTCCTTGGGAGCCTGCTTCTCCCTCTGCCTCTCTCTCTCTGTCTCTCATGAATAAATAAATAAACTCTTTAAAAAAAAAAAAAAGAAAGAAAGAAAGTTGTGAATCTCATGCATTTTAGATGGAGGTGCTCTAAATCTCCCACCTAGCACTGCTCAGCCTTTAATGTGCACGTGTATCTCCGGGGGTTGAATCCTCCGGAGATCCTGTTAAAATGCAGATTCTGATTCAGTAGGTCTGGGGTGGGCTTCTGCATTTCTAACAAGCGCCCAGCCTCTAACGAGCTGGTGCTCTCGGTCCTTGGCCACACTTCGAGGAGCAGGGCTTGAAAAGACCTTGATGTACAAAAGAGAGACAGCTGGGGGAGGTGGTGAGCAGAGGATGGGCGTGTAGCTGTGCATGGAGGTGCCATGGAGCTGCCATTGCAATGCCATGCAATGCCCACCTGCATCACAGGGAGAACACCAAGTGCAGAGTGAGCTCTGCCCCAGCACCAGAGACAGAAGATTAGGAGACCCAGGCAGGCAGGAGATACTACCACTTCTCTCTTTGTGCAGCCAAACACATAGCCTCCTTTCTTTTCTTTTTTTTTTAAAGATTTTATTTATTTATTTGAGAGAGAGAGAATGAGAGAGAACACATGAGAGAGGGGAGGGTCAGAGGGAGAAGCAGACTCCCTGCCAAGCAGGGAGCCCGATGCGGGACTCGATCCAGGGACTCCAGGATCATGACCTGAGCCGAAGGCAGTCGCTCAACCAGCTGAGCCACCCAGGCGCCCTCCTTTCTTTTCTTGACATCGTTTTAGTCCATCCATGTATGTGGGAATAAGAGGACTGTCTGAAGCTGTTTTCCCACCTTTAATTCATCTGGTTAGCTTCAGGGCCCCCAGGAAACCACATATTATCTCACTTCATTACCACCAAAACCCTGGGGCCAAGCTATCATTGTCCCCATTTTACAGATAAGGAAACAGAGGCTCAGAGAGCAAATTACTGTCCGAGGATACCCACACACAACAAACAGCAGAAGTGGGTGTGAAATTGAGCCTATGTGGTGCCGAAGTCAGCTCTCCCCTCCCCCTCCAGCCACCCGACCACCCTAGAGAGTTGGCAGGAGAGTCCCCGGCCATCCCTTAAACCCCAATCCCTTTTGGGCAGCTGTCTCCGCCCAGTCCAGCTCAGTCCTGCTCACTTGTGCTTTGCACCATATCCTCGCCCTCACGAGGCCACGACAAATTCTCCACCTGGCTTCAGGGGCTAGAGATCTGAGCCGCCACCTCCACAGCCTGCTTCCTGGCTTGGCACCTTTGCAGCCCAGGTAACCAAGTGGCAGGGGCCAAAGAGGGCAGCCCAGCTGGGAGCATACCTGAGGGGATAAGGCGGTAATGGAAGGGCATAAGGAAGTTCTGAGGGGTTCAGAGGGCATAGAGGGCCACGAAGGGACCCTGAAGGTTGTAATAGGGCAGTGAGGCAAGGGGTAAGAGAGGTAAGAAGAAGGGTAAGAGGGGGCACAGGGGACACAAGAGGTACCAGCATTCCACAGGTCCAAGCCCCTACTGGATTGGCCGGGAGTGGCCATCCACCAGTCCTTGGGCTGGGCTGGGGGGGGCAGGTCTCCCAGTTCATGGCCCTGCCATCTCCTCTCCCACAGAACCTTGTGTTATTGGGGAAGAGTCAGCTTCCCTCAGCCCTGCTTGGTCCTCTCTAACCTTGAATATATTACACAGATACTTTTTTTCCCCTCAAGATTTATTTATTTATTTGCGAGAGAGAGAGAGAGAGAGAGAGCTCAAGCAAGCGCAAGTGGTGGGGAGGGGCAGCAGAGGGAAAGAATCTCAAGCAGATGCCCTACTGAGTGCAGAGCCTGACCCCCCTGCCCCGGGCTCGATCTCATGACCCAGGAGATCATGACCTGAGCCAAAATCAAGAGTCAGATGCTTAGCCGACTGAGCCACCCAGTGCCCAGGCCTGATGCTCGCCAGTCCCGCCTTCTCCGCCGCGTCCCCCACCCCCGCCTCATTGTCCTCTGGCGCCAGCAGCTGGGGCTCTACGGGCAGGGCTGCCGCAGATCCCGGGATTCCAGAGCACAGGCCCTTTCCCATCCCTGCTCGCTAGCCCCCCTTGATTCCCCCACTACCGATCGACTCCCGCAAAGGAAGGCAATGCGCATCCAGTGTGCGCCTCTGGCCGGTGCTTTGTCCTTGCAAGGAGCACTGACTAGGGACCAGGTGCTGTTCTAGGCCCTGAGCTGTGAACATCTGGGTACAAAAAGCTCTTCTGGAGTGTTGTTTACCTTTGCTGGGGGAGGAGACCCAGACAGTGAACACATAACAAACAAAACAAGATAATCTCAAACAATGTTGAAAGCCTTGAAGATAAATAAGATGATAAAACAGGGTGAGGGATAGAGTGTGTGTAGAGAGTGGGGCTTACTTGCATCAGAATGGTCAGCGAAGGCTTTTCGAAACAGGTGACACTGAAAAGCAATCTGTATGACAAAGATGCCAGCTTGGTGAACCAGTGCCAAGGCCCTGAGGCTGGATGGGGCTGGTGCATTGGAGGGACTGCTAAAATGCCAGTGTGGCTGGAGGCATATGAGCCAGGGAAGAAGAGGGCAGGGGCCGGGCAGGGGTGATGAGGTGGGAAAGGTGTGGGTGGGGAAGAACTGTCATGAAGGGCCTCACAGGTGAGCCCCCGGGGACTTAAGCCACGAAGAACCTGACCTGATTTAGCTGCTGTGGG